GTGGTGGCGCACGCCTTTAATCCCAGCACTTGGGAGGCAGAGGCAGGCGGATTTCTGAGTTTGAGAGTTCGAGGCTAGCCTGGTCTACAGAGTGAATTCCAGGACAGCCAGGGCTATACAGAGAAACCATGTCTCGAAAAAACCAAACCAAACCAAACCAAACCAAAAAAAAAAAAAAAAGAGGACAGGTCTGTTTGGTGGGTAGGTAGGCAAGTCCCCCGAATGTTAACAAAGCCACTGAGAGACATGCCTGTCACTGCTGCTGATGTCACCATTGTCATAGTCTTGGGAGTCATCCCATATGTTTGTGGAGGCCCTGGGCTGGTTAGGTGCAGGAAGCACCCAAACCTACTCCCCTCATGCCCCTGCAGGCCCCACTCATTTCTGGCAGGAGGCTTCCTTGCATGCACCTCCTCAAGAAGCCAAGCTGGCTGCCTGGCCTAGGGGAGCATGCATGCGCGCTGGCACGCGTGCACGATCAACCCCAATTTCCAGATGAGGAGACAGTAGGTACTCAGGGCTTAGGAATAGGCCTCCAGGGCTCAAACCCTAGTTCTGGTATCTGCTGGTTCTGAGTCCTTAGAAAAGGTGCACAGCTTCCCTGCGCCTCATTTGGAGAATGGAATCGTGAAGGTGACTGGAATGCTCCACAGGATTCCCTGGGTTGTGTATGAGGAGTGTTCAGAGCATCACCTGGCCTGCACTGAGCACCCAGGAAGTAACTGCTGCCCTACTGCCCTGCCAGAGGGGACAGGCAGGCATCTGGAGGATCCAGCATGTCCCAGGAGCCATGTGGCCCTGCAGGTTCCGCTCTTCTCTGGAGTCTATGGCATGAGGCTTCCTTGTGTGCACCTCCTCAGGAAGGCAAGCTGCCTGCCTGGCCTAGGGGACCGCACATGCTAGGCGACGGGTACAGCTGACAGAAAACTGCCTGCCTTAGCATGTGTACGAGGCTATTTTTACTGTGTTCAGCTGGCTGGCACTGGCTGGGCTATGTCTGAGCCCTGGCAAGGATGTCCCTGCTGGAGGGAGTGTGAGGGCCCCTCTTTGTTGAAGGGGCAGCCAGTATGGCGGACAGCATCTTCAGAGATGGTTTCATGCATCTCTACAGGGCAGCCTGAACCCCCACCTTCTTTCCTATGGACCAATGGGTATTGTTAGCCCCTCTCCTCTCTAACCTTGGGTGGCTTTCACTGTGGTCTGTCTCTCTGGAGGAGAGAGGAAAGATGCCCTGTAGTGTCCCAGCATCCCAAAAAGCCCAGAGGGAGGATGGTTTCTGGGTGGTCCAGCCTCCTAATTGTTGCTGCTGGGGGGGGGGAGAAAGTAGGGGAGAGGAGATAGGTTCATTTTGCTCTGGGGAGGAGAGAGGTCATGAACACCTTTCTCTAGGGTAAAACATAGGAAGGCAACAGCCTAATACAGACATCCTCAGCCAGTACTGGTGTGTCCACATGGTCTGTGACGGGAGCACTGGGCACATGTCCCAATCTGAAGGAGGCCACAGACATGTCTGGTGGAGGGCTGGCTCCCCAGTGGGATATGAATGGCTGTAGTGATGGGGTCCACTCACCACAGCAAAGCCACAGGGGCCAGTGGGAAAGAGAAACTGCAGCCAGCTACCCTGTTCAGCCACATTAGGCAAACAACTCAACCATTCAGAGAGAGCCAGCACTGAGCCGGCTGCTGGGGCGTGGGGGTTGGAGGGGGGGGGGCTTTGTGTTCTCAGATGTTTTGGCACCAGTTTTTTTTTTTGGGGGGGGGACTGTGGGGTAACCACTCTTCACCCAGTAGAATGGAGAGTGTTCCACCCTTCAGATGTCCCTATCATCAGGAAATGACACTAAGTTACTCTGAGCCTCCAGACTCAGGGGTGAGAAAGAACTGAGCTATCAGTAACATCATACAGCAAGCTAGGCTGCTTCCCCAGGGTGTGGCTCTAGGCAATTAGGGCTTGGCCCGCACAGCCTTCAATAATTGGATGCAGGCACTGGGATTCTTATTAGGAGAAAGGTTCTTTTATGGCAATGATAGAGGGATGATTAGTGGAGCTGGCCCACCATCATAGGGTCCTCTCCCCGCCTGTTTCTCCCACTGGGCCTCTTCACAAGTCCGGCCCAGGCCTCCCCTGCCTTAATATGGGTCCCCAATAGTCCCCAGTGGCTGGCACAGAAGCAGGTAGTTTGGAATCCAGTCGGGGCAGCTTTCTCCACAGGTGGCTTCAAGGATGGCTCTTTTCAGGATGACTTCTACTTTAGCAGGGGAAGGAAGGAGGGGTGCCCAGCCTATTGGGGGAGCATCCTCCCTCTGTACCCTGCCTGTGATTGGCCCATAATTACAGGTTTATTGCCTGTATAGCTATTGTGTAATGACATGTTTGCAAATTAATTTTTATGGCTTCTGCCATTAGCATATACAGTGGAGGAAGGTTTCGTATTAATTACTACTGTTGTTCCCGTAATCCCGGGGAATTAAAAACCAATAAAAGAGTGACAACACAAACTGATAGTTTAGGGTCTTTTAAAAATAGTTTTTATTCTTTTCCCCCCGAAGTACAACCAGAGCTTGTGAGGGGTCGAGGCGCGAGGCAGGGGTGGGGGTGGGGGTTATGTGTGTGAGCCGCGCCTGGTCCCTCTTTCATCTAGCCCACCGTGAAGAGTGCGGGCAGGTGATGGAGGCTATGACCCTAGACAGGGGGGGCGGGGGCGGGGGGGGGGGGGGGGGGGTGCTCGCCTCGCAGGCAGCCCCGGAAACAAAGGGCGACAGCCTAGGGCCTGGCTCGACCTCTGGGGTCATGCGTAGCAGAGCGGCTAGAGGCCAGCAGCGGCGCCTTCCTGCAACTTGGGGCCCAGGGCCCTCCCCGGGGCCGCGCGCATCTGGTCTGCTGCAGAGGGAGGGGGGCGCAGCAAGGATTAGAAGGCTGGGCCCCCACCTCCCTCAAAGTGTCCTCTTGAGCTCAAGAGGGGGCCTATATTCTGAGAGTTACCTGAATTCATCGCGTCTATTCTGATCTCAGGGCCACTGGTTTTGGGCCCCTGATGGGTGAGAAGGTTAGAGACCAGGGCAGCAACCCTAGCCAGGCGCGACCGTGGCGCCTGCTGTGCGTACCTGCAGATTAGGAACTGAGGATCTGGGGTCAAAAGGTGGACCATTAGTGTCACGGAGTCACAACCCCAGGTAGTGGGGCCACGGGAGGTGGGGAGAGCTTCCATAAAAGGGCTTGAAAAACAAATGGTCGCGTCTCGATACTTGCTTTGCCGAGTGCGTTTTAGTAGTAGGGGCTGGTGTGTGGGTAAATGGATGCTGTCTCTTTAAAATCGCTGGGCTGGACAATGAGCGCACAGGATGTGGTTTGGCGGCAGGGTTTTTTCCCCTTCGATTTGGGGAATTATCACTTGGGGCCTTCTTGAGCTGGTGTGAACGCGCGGCGGCTGGGGAGGGGAGATACAGGCGCCACACTAACGCTCAGTGCAGTCGGTCGTTTGCTTAAACCAAATTAGCCGGGCTCTCGTTACTATGGTGCAGCCGGGGCTTGCAGAGTCCCAGTAATAGCATTTATTAGGTCTGTTTGCCTGGAAGCATGCCTTCCCGGATCTGATAATGCCCGGGTGCAGGAGAGTGTGGGAGATGGTATCAAGCATTTGATTACACTTGCAACAGGGATTTTTTTAAGGGGTAGGGCGTACGGGGGGGGGGGAGGAGGAAAGGAAAGAGAGAGGCCAACCGCCGGCCCTAGCTCTCCCGGGCGCGGTCTCCGCAGCCCGCTGCGGGCTGCACAAAGGGCGGCCCCGGCCTCCCCGGGGCACGGTCGCGGGGGGGAGGTCGTGCTCCGGGCTCCCGCAGCTGTCAGACGTGGGTGGGGAGGAGCGAGGGCGGGCCGGCGGCCAGAGCGCGGAGTTGGGCAGCCAGAGGGGGGCCCCGATGGCGCCCGCAGCCGCCCACTGTTTGCAAACGGCCGGCTCCCGGGCAGAAGGGAGCACCGTGCAGTCGGAAGCGGGAGCATCAGCCTGGAGCCCTGGGCAGCGGGTCTGATCCGTAAGGCTCTGAGGCCGCGCACGGGCAGGTCGCAAGTGGGACTCTCGTCACCGCGGCGCGCAGCCGGGAGCTCCGGGAGGACGCGGCGCAGACGGAAGGAGCCGCCCGCCGCTGCGCCCCTTCCCTTTCGCTTTCATTAGGGGAGACAAATCTGCTGTCAGGCAGCCAGCTTTCCAATTTACCGATAATGATTCTTGCATGAAAATTGATCGAGGGGCTCTCCACCGCCGCGCGCTCTCGCCTCCCGCTCTCCTGCTCCTGCCGGCTGCGCCCCCGCGAGTTCCTCCTCCTCCTCCTCTCCCTCCTCCCCACCCCCTCCGTCTGAGTCAGTGGTGGGACGCCGGGCGGGGAGATAACCAAAAAGGGGGGGGTGCTGGTGGTGAAAGGGGGAGGGGAGCCTGCCCTCACCAGCGTCCCTAGCCCAAGACTTGTTTGTCGCCGTCGCCTCTCCCATTGACGAGGCGAAATCTGCCCCCTCGGTACTTCTTGGCTGTTTGGGTATTAATTTTCTCCACCCCCCAGCACCCCTGCCGAGCGCCCCCTCCTCCTCTCCGCACCCCGCCCCTCCTCACCCAGTAGCTAAGGGGAAACGAAAACAAAGCCGATTTCTCCTTGGCAACCAGATGCCCCCTCCCGCCGCCCCCCTTCCTTTTCCCTTCTGGTTCTGAACGTGAAACCCTGTTGGAAACAGGTCTCTTGACCCTCGCCCTTGACATTCAAATGGCTGAATGGAGGCGAGATTGCTGTTCGCACGTCTTAGGGGGTGCTTTTTTTCTCTCCCTTTTCCTCTCTCTCTCTCCTGTCTCTTTTTCTTTCCAATGAGTAATCCCTAAAGACCTTAACCCCCCAATTTCATCACCCTCACCGCCCCCCTTTATTTTTCCTCTCTCCTCTTCTGCTCTCCCGCCCTCTTCCCTCCGCCAGCTCCCCCTCCTTTTTTTTTTTTTTTAAATTTGCATCTCAAGTCCAAAAGGCAGAAAATACACACGCGGCGAAGACGCCGGGCCGCCGTGGAGGCTCCGGCCCTTCCTTGGTCAATTACCTCACTGTGGATCTGCTCCGGCCGAGGTGGCCGAACCTGCCCGGGCGCTGGACGGAAAGGCAGCCTTTGATCATCTTGGAGAAGGAAAAGGAAAAAGCACAAACTGGTTTCTACCCACGGCGCTCCGGGGATCGCTCTTCTGCCTTTATTTTATTGTTTTGGACATTTTAGAGCGCCGTGGCTTGGACGCTGGTTTTGTTTCATTGCTGGGCTTGATTTTTTTTTTCCTCATTTCCTTCTTCGTCCCTCTCTGGTCACTATGGAATTCTAACCTGAGCCATGTTCGGACTGAAGCCGCCTCTCTATTACTTACCAGGTAAGCGAGTCGTGCGCCAGGTCCTCGGGTCCCAAGACCAGGGCGCGTAGGGGCGCACAGGGGCGCGCTGCTCGGCTGCCCGCTCAGTGCGCGCTGCCGCGTGGGGCGCCCGGCCCGGTGCGCGTCTCGCTCCTTTTGTCTGCGCGGAGCCGGCGGCTCTGCGCCCCGGGCGCGATCGCGCGGGTGTGAAGTTACTTTCCCGCGGGCGGCGACCCGGGGGGGGCCCAGCCCTGCCGCCCCCCTCCCGATTCCCTGGAAGGTTTTGTTGTGAGGCCGGGAGGGGCCGCGGCCGCAGTGCGCGCGGCTTCCTGTTTCCTGCGCCTCGGTGCGCGCTGACAGCGGCTGCTCTGCAACTTTCAGTTTCGGGGGCCACCGCGGGAGAGCTGGGGAGCCCCTCCACCCTTAAGATGCTTGCCCGCGGGCGCGAGGAAAGCTAGAGACCTCGGAGCGAGCAGACGGGCGTGGGAACCCGGCCCTCCCGGTGGCTTCCCCCTTGGGTACCCCCGGGTCCGACTGCACGTGACCTCAGGTCGGGAGGGCTGGGCTGCGTGTGGCCGCTTCTTCTAAGAATGTGCTGGGTTTTTATCTTCTTCTTTCTCTAAGCCCTGGCACACAGTTTCTATTGAAGTTGAGGCGTCTGTGGAGTGCAGAAGTGTTGGGGTGCTGAAGGAGCAGAGGGGTGGCCTTCGTGCATGACACGGTCTGCTGTTTTCTGCAGATGATTTGGTAATAGTTTTGCTAGGAAACGTGCACGTGGCTGGCTGTTGGCTTAACGTTGCCTTTTTGCTTTCCTTGTGTGTTCTGTGGCTCCTGTGGCTCTTGCCAGGTCCCTACCGCCCTGGAGTCCAGAGAAGCAGATGTGGGCCAAGAACCAGTCTGGGCAGGACTCAGCTCCAGGGAGCTGGCCTTAGTCGTCCTGACCTAGGGCACACACTGTAACAGAGTTAATGTACCAGAGATGAAAGGTCACAAGGAAGAGCCGGTAATGGAGGCAATTTCCCTGCAGGACAGTTGTAGGTGACTCTGGGCATTCCTTTGTGGATGCTTCTGTGTCCAGCCCTACCCCGAGAAAAGCCTGTTCTGTTCCTGGGGTGTCCAGCCTTTGTCGTTGTTTATCTTAAGACAGGGTCTCACGATTTAGCTCCAGCTGGCCTGGAACTCATAGATTCCCCTGTCTCAGCCTCACCTCCACCAAAGTGAGCGGATGAAAGGTGTGTGCCACAGGGCCTGGCCCCAGGCTGTTTTCATTGGAAGATTCTCTCTCAGCCACTCACGTGTCTCCCTCTCTCCCAGGGCCTGAAATAGCAATTGTCAAACCTCTTAGCTGGGCTCTCCCTTTCCTCTGTTTAGTTCACTTGGGTACTTCCTTCCAGAGGACTAACTAAAATTAGAGCCAGGAATCCCCAGCTTCCAGCAAGGTTACCTCTGCAGGAGGGCAGGTGTCCTCTGCAGCATAGCAGTCACTCATGGGCAGGTGTTTGTGGTAGCCCCCTTCACAGACGGGGCTGCCCACTGATTCTGCTGGTGCATCCCGTTAGCTTTGCCAAGGAGAGCATAGATAGCACTTTTTTGGATTTCCAGCGCCTCTCTGGGGCCTTGGAGCTAACTGGTAGTGTGAAAGGAATCTCTGTAAGCACTGGGCGGCTCACGAGCACAGGTGTTTGAAATCTGCACCCCACTCCACCTGCCATCGGAGGGCCAGGCTGGTATATTAGCTCGTCAGGTGACCGATTCTTTATTTACACAGGGAGCCTCAGAACGAGAAGGAGGAAGTGTCAGACTGGGAAGTTCAAAGCAATTAAAAGAATCAGCCTCGGCTGGGATTAGGCCCTAGGCAGGCGGGTGTCAGCAAGGTGAATCCTGCTTGTCCTGATCCTTCAGGGAGGGGAGGGCTTGGCTCTCCTCCCCAGGGAGGAGGGCTCAGATAAATTAACCACTGGATGAAGGGTTTTCTCCTACCGAAGTTTGTTTTTTTGAAGGTCCCTGCCAGGGTTTTCCACCCTGTAAGCTTGAGGGTAGGATTGGATCTCAGATGCACCTTGATCTGTAGATGGTTTGGGGACTCTCCCATACACCCCATGGAGTGGGTACTGATATCTCAGCCTGCTAACCAATCTGCCTCAGAGGCTTAGCCATTGCTGTTCTGGAAGTGTCAAGGGCTGGGATCTGCTGTCAGCCACTTCAAGAGGGGATTTCCAGGCCTGAGAACAGTGTGTGTCTAGTTGTCTGTGGTCATTAGCTTTAGTTGAGAGTCAGAGTCTTGGCCCTAAGAAGGACCTGGACTCTGAGTTCTAGGTTCTGTCTAAAGCCTCTGAGTCCTGGATTCTGTCCTCAAGATCTGGTCCCATCAAGGCGGTTGTAGTCAACCATCAGGAGACAGGGTCCAGAACCTACCCACCAGTGACTGTTTGGGGGTGGCCACGGTCAGGTTGGCCCTAGATTCTGTCTTCTCTTGCCACACTGGACGATGGCTCTGAAGCCCAACCCTGTGTGTTCCCAGCCTCAACCTTGGCTGGTAAGGAAAGTTCCCAGAAGTCCTCAGTTTTCCCCTCTGTGACTTGGATTCACTGTATTCTCTTCCTAAGATTCAGAGTCTCATAGCATTAAGGTTCTGTTGGCATGAGGTGCACCTGTGCTCTCAAGGAGTCCCTGAAGGGTCTCTGACCGCATAGCTTGAGCAGTGATCGTGGAGTCCAGGCCAACTGACCAGGCCTAAGAGATCTTGCTCAGTTAATTATCCATGTTTGGTTGGAGGGGCCTGTGAAGGAGAAGATTTTGGGGATGAAGTATGGTTTGTTTTGTTTTGGAGAGTCTCATGTAGCCTGGGCTAGCCTATGTGACCCAGGCTGACCTCAAACTCCCTGTGCACCTTCCTCCACCCCACCTCACCCCACCCCCTAGGTGTTATGGTACAGAGTTCATCTCCACACAGGTTAACTACCAAGCTTGTTAAGGTTTTTTTTTTTTTTTTGGTTTTTCGAGACAGGGTTTCTCTGTGTAGCCCTGGCTGTCCTGGAACTCACGCTGTAGACCAGGCTAGCCTCGAACTCTCGAACTCAGAAATCCGCCTGCCTCTGCCTCCCAAGTGCTGGGATTAAAGGCGTGCGCCACCACCGCCCGGCACTTGTTAAGGTTTTAATCAGGTATTGTTACAAGGATAAAATCTTTTTGCAGAAATTCACAGAACTTCGTGGTGCAGCCAGGACTTGAACTTGGTGCTGTGGGCATGTCTGGCTGACTTTATTGTCAGAAATGACTCACTGACTAGAGGGTCAGTCAGCTTCCCTTCAAAGAGAGGAAGATGCAGGCCGTAGGCACAGGATCTGGGGCCTGTGCCCTCCATCTTCCTGCCGGTGACAGATGGTATTTTTTTCTCTGGGGTCCCCTATTTAGCTTTCTTCTGTGTTCATGGCTTACTGGATACCCCTGTCCCTGAACTCCACAGGACTTTGTGATCCGTGCAGGCGGAGACTGAGTGTCTCCTTTTTGCTTGGCCTGCTGCCAGACCAATAACGACAGTCGTAAAAATAAAAAGGATAATAAAATAAGGAGGAGGCTGTGGCCACTTCAACATACGGCTTGCTCCATGCCAGACTTGCTAATTTGCCGGACGACGCTGGGAGGTCAGGCTAGGCCTGTCGCACTTGACAGCCAAGGAAACTGAGGCACAAGAGAGGCCGAGGTCACTGGAGCAGCAAAAGGAGCAGCAAGAGGCTCAGCTGGGCCCTGACCTCTGACCCCGGGCAGTCTGGCTCCAGAGTCTCTGCTTAATAAATATTTGTTGACCAGTCAGGGAGGGATGGCGGCTGGTATTGGCGGTGGCGCCCTCCTGGGGCCCCTTATCTTGTTCCTGACTGTTGGCTGACCCTATCCTGGCCCCAAGCTGAACTCTAGGTGACCCCACCTCCCCCTGGATTCCCTGTCCATAGCCAGGAAGGATGCTCTGAGACCTGTCTTGAAGGGAGAGTGCTATGGCTAGTGGCGGTATTTACCCTTATCTCTTTTGGGACATCTTCTGTGCCCAAAACTGCCCCCTGAGGTCATAATGAGTCATTCAGAGATAGATGACCAGGCTGACCCGAGGCCTTTCTGAGCAGCTTACCCTAGGCTAGCTTACTCTATGCATAGTCAGGGTAGTAGAGGGGTGAAGGTCCCCAAAGATTGTTCTCCAGAGTACTAAAGTCTGTGTACAAGACAAGACGTGGACTGTACCCAGCACGGGTTGGGGGTGTATATGTGTATATATAGGGGTGTGTGTGCCTCCCTTGCCAGTTACACCCACACCTAGGACCTGTGGGGTCCTAAGGGAACACTGGAGACCTGCTCTTGGGTCAGGCTGAGCCTGGGAAGGAGGTTGGGCCATTTTCACAGTGACAGAGTCCTTCTTACAGCCCAGACACAGGGGGGGCTGTATTGGGCTTGTTCATGGCTAGCACTTTCAGGGCAGTCACTAATTACTCTCAGACACTCTCTAAGAACTGGGGAGAGACCACCACGTTTGGATCTGTCAAGACTGGGAAAGCCAGGGACCCTTTTGTCTCAGCTGTGACTTGGCCCCCTGTCCATGAGGTGAGGCCCTCTCACTAGGGCCTGGTCTGCCCCTCTCCTCTGCTCAGTGAGGTAGTCATTAGGATTCCCTCTGGCTTCCGTTCCTCTGAAATGCCATGGGTGGGAATCTATCTGCCCCTTCCTCTTTATCTTCTGGACTCTTCCTGCTGTGGGAGCAAATGGTCTGGAGGACACTTGGTTCTTCCTGGAGGAGGAGGAGGAAGAAGAAGAGGAGGAAGAGGAGGAGGAGGGAGAGGAGGAGGAGGAGGAGGATGGAGGATGGAGGATGGAGGATGGAGGCTGTACTTCCTCCCCAGAGGAAGGTGGCCAGTGGGAGGACCTGGCCAGACAGACTGTCCCTGCAGAGCCAGCCAGGGGCCAGAGTGTCTCTGCCTCTGTAGCATTTGCTCCAAGTCCTGTGTTCCCTGTCTGCCTTTGACATGGGTGAAGTG